AACCCTAAGAGAAAAAATCTTGATATTTTTGTACGTAATTTTTTTTTTTTTTTTTTTGTAAAACTAAAATACTTTGCATGATTTGTGTTGAGGTTTTACCAAATTTGTGGAATTGTGTAAAACAGAAATTAACTCCTATTCTGTGGAAATCAGCAGGCTTAAACCTATTTAAAAGAGTGCACACATCAGAGGGACAGATCTAGGAATTCCCAGATCTAGGAAACTCAGCACTGAGATCGCATATGGTCTTCAGTTAACAAGATGAAAAGCCTTAGGTGCTCCTCACCAGTTATGTTCCTTCTTCGCTTTCTTGTAGTTTTAGTGTTGGATATGGGCTTGATTAAACATTCCCATAGAAGTGTACACAGGGTCTTCAAAAAATTTAAGAAAAATGTGTATTATGTAAAAAATCCATATATTTCAGATTTTTCTTACCAAAAGAAGCTGGTACTTTAATTCTATTTTTCTACGAATTTTTTGAAGTACTTTTTATAGGCTACCTCTTCTTTTCTACAATCTTGTTAAAAGCTTATGGAGCTATGTTAAAATATGCCAAATTTACTTCAGTTGAGTTTATCTTTACCATAAATCTATTTTTCATTTGATACCAAGACAGAGGGAATATTTGTCTTGCAAAGTAACTTGTTTATAGATCTTTTGCATACATAGATGCTCTTCGATGTACAATGAGAGTTAAGCTCTAATAATTCCATAAATTAAAAATATAATAGGTCATAAATGCATTGAATAACCTGGTAAAACTCTGTATACTAGGAAAGGTGTGGCTTTTGTAGGACTATTCCAATCATTTCAAGAAGTCTTTATGATTCCTTACACAAAGAGTATGCTAGATACCTTTCTAAATACTTCTCAGGGGCTGCTATGTGTAGGTATGCAGGATGTTACTTTGAAAGGCACATGACCAAGGGGTGAGCAAGAGCTGAAATCCAGCCTGCCTTTTGCTCACAAATCTGCTTCCTGTGGGATTTTAAAATTTGAACTAAGAGGGACCAGCAGATCACGTAATGGAAAAGTTGCTGGGTTCCCTCATGGCCAACTGTGGTTCAAGTCCTAGACTCAGCAGCTTCAAACTCATGCAGGGTGCATATGTGTGCTTGCCTAAAATCCTGAGAAGACGATGGAAAAGAAGGGATTGTGGGATGGCCATCCTCTGGGGAGGTGATTTCTTGCTTCTGTCTCTCAGGAGAGCACATGCGCTCTATAGCAAAAATGTCTCTCTCTCTCTCTCTTTTTTTTTTAATAATCGTTTCATTTAACTTTATTTATTACTATTGTTGTTGTTTTTAATTTGACCAGAGAGAGAAAGAAAGTGAGAAAGCAAGCCACCAAGGCTGAGATTTAAACCGTGGTCAGCCACATGGGAATCCAGCTCCTTTAACCACCATGCCACCTGCCAGCTCACAAAAATGTCATTTTGTATGCAGAGGTCTAGTTTTCCCATTGTCTTGAAGTTTTTATGTCAGTATACCATTGTTTTCTCAATATGAGAGGAAGTACAATGAAGAGAGATCACACATAACTCCAAGTCATAGTTGAATCAAAATGGCACCTACCATGATTCCTAGTAGATTATTCCGGCATTTATGAACTAAAATACCATAGTGAGTGCCACAAAACCAGGTAGTCATTCACTTGCTTATAGTCTGCACCATTAAACAGCAATTGGATTGGCACACATAATCAGTCAGCTCCTTGATATAGAGTAGAGAGCTAAGTCATTCCCAAAGCTGATCTAGATGAGGAAGGATAGATTTGAAAATCCTACTCTTGAGTCCTGCCCTCATCCTTGCTGGTAGACCAGAACTACAGGCGAACTATGCTCTTCAGCTATTTTTATATCAGTAATGAGTGCTATTCAGCACTTGTCTTGTTTTAATATAAACTTCATCAATTCTTGATAGACATGGATAACTGTATTTTGACAGAAATAATAACGATAATTTTATGGTATCTTGAGTATTGAAATATCTTCCATATGCTCAGTATAAGATTGTAAACTTACTGGGAAGAGCCAGTTTACCTGTTTCTGTATTAGTTGTAAAGACAATAGGATAACAAAAGAAAAAGTAGAGTATGCAATTGTCAATAATTGAGAGACAGTACAATTTAGTGGGTAAAAGATGTTCTTTAAAATCACAAGGAACTAGATTCTGATATTGTTTCATCATATATGTTTGTCTAGAGTGAGTTGGTTGCCCAGCGTGGTTAGTTAACCTTTTCTGTTTCCTCATCTGGGGTGTAAATAATAATAACCAATGCTATGAGGCTTTGTGAGATAAGTGACATGAGATTTATGTGCCACGTGCTTTGCATACCATTGCAAATACTCTTAGGAAATGGCATCAAAGGGGAGAAATATGGGCTTGTTTGTTTGTTTTTAACTCAATAAAGATCTTTGTCTTCATTGAGAAGAAACAACATGATATAGTCTAGAAGAAAATCTAGCAGTCATAAGTGTCTTGGATTGTTTTGTCTGTTTCTGAGTTTTCTTTTCTGTTTTGTTCTTGTAACTGCTCCTGGTTACTTCAGTTGGAAATTGCTAAAGTTTGTTTCTTTGGCCTTCCTCTTTGGTGCCAGTGTCAGTGATTTTCAAGTTCTTTGCTTTTTTCCTTGGAGAATATCTTTGAAACAAAATAATTAGTCTTTTGCGACTTTTTCTTACATATGTCAACTTGCTTAGTACATCTATTTAAATAGAAGAAGAGTTTCTCTTCCTTTTTACTAAACTATTCTTCCTTATTCACTATTTATATTCCTTTTTCTGAAACTTTTGCTTATTCACTATTTCATACTTATGTTGAATGTTTTTGAGTAATTCTGGCAATCCTTGGCATTAATCTTTATCAGTGAGAAGAGGGGACGTCCTGGCCGCATGGAGTGGCATCCGACCCCTTGTTACAGATCCCAAGTCTGCAGATACCCAGTCAATCTCCCGAAACCATGTCGTCGATATCAGTGAGAGTGGTCTTATCACCATAGCAGGTATGGTATATTACCTTATTTTTAGATGTCCTTTAGACACAAGCTTGCCTTAAATTCTCATTAGTATCTTATTTAACCTTAACAAGAATTTTAGCAATTCTTAGAAAAGTCTTACACATTGATTTGCCATTTTTAAAATAAGTACTACATGAGTTGTATTATTAATAAGTTAATACGTAGTTAATTATAAGCAAAATAAAAGGTGGCAACTCACTCAATTGTTTACCAACTTTGTAGGTGGAAAGTGGACAACTTATCGATCTATGGCAGAAGATACTATAAATGCTGCTATCAAGACTCACAATTTGAAAGCAGGACCCAGTAGAACAGTAGGACTGTTCCTTCAAGGTGGTAAAGATTGGAGTCCTACCCTCTATATTAGGCTTGTCCAGGATTACGGACTTGAAAGTGAGGTGGGTATGCATTGCCATATCGTCTTAACTCTTTACCCCTTTACCCTCTCTCTCACTATTTCCAGTTGGCAACCATAATGTGGCTTCCTGATTTACACATTTTTCTGGATGGTTATGTTCTGACTGTGTTCTGTGAAAGTTAAACTAAGGGAAAAAAAAGATGATTCTACTTCACTTTAGGTGCCCAAAAAGGAATGTACATTTTAGTTTCTACCTTGAAACCTGGCATATATTTGGTTTGTTTTAAGCTAGAGGATATCCCCAATTCGTTCCATCTCAAACATAAGGATGGCTGTTCTTCAGAAGTGATATGAGGAGCAAAATGAAGCTGAAACTTCATCAGTCAGTGACACAGTGATACATGGATAGGAGAGTTAGTGCTGGTCTAAGCACTTGAAGCCCAAGTGGTTTCCTCCCACAAAAATCAAAATCTAATACTCTCCAGGAACTATTAGTTACAGGCAGTAAGAAAACTGACAAGATAAGCACGTATGAGTTTTGCTTTGTGCCTAGGAGGTATTGATATTCACAGTGCATCCCTAACACACTTCTGTTTTTGTAGGTAGCACAGCATCTTGCTGCCACGTATGGAGACAAGGCTTTTGAGGTGGCGAAAATGGCAAGTGTGACTGGAAAAAGGTGGCCTATTGTTGGAGTGCGTCTTGTGTCAGAATTTCCATATATTGAAGCAGAGGTACTTGAATAGTCGGTCACATGGGGATTTCTTCTCTGCCGTGGATACCATTCATCTGTTCATTTTTCATTTTCTTGAGAAGTTTTATGTAGCTAATATCATTTTAATGCTGGGGTAAAATGTCCAGTGAAGACATTTTCACGTACAGAATTTTAATTTTAATTCTTTCTAAAATATTTAGTTTACATTTTTAAAAATTTACATTTTAAAATATGCATTCATTTTTACATTTTAAAAATTCCCATTTAATCACTATTCCTCTTTACAGAGTATACAAAATGGTTTTTCTCAGCATGAGTGCAAAGCATATCAGCCAAGTCAAAGATATTGCCATATGCATTATTATGAACAGATAACTTTTCATTTTTGTGTGTGTTAATTTTTTCCCCTGCTCCCTTCTCTCCCACCCCCTCCTATACTCTCTCTAGTATCTGCAGTTGCCCTCCTTGCTATTACGGAATTAACCCAAATGTCTAAGAAAAGATGGACTGGATTGAAAAATTTTAATTCTAAAGTGATGTTGATAGTGGTAATAATAATAACATGAGCTATGAATTATTTTTCTCCTAAGTCTTGTTAATTCACAATGTTTGTCACCTTTGTGAGTTTGTAGCTCTTGAAATTTGAATCAGTAGTGTACCTGCCTGTGGACATACCTTGATATGACAATTGCTCAATGATTTAAGTTAGGTTTCTCATCAAGCTCTCGAATGTTCTGAAACTAGAGACCATGCTTTATATTTATTTGTAATTCACTGTGCCTTGAAATATTGGTGTCCAGGAAGCATGTCCTTGTTGGTTAAATTCAGGGTTCACTGGTTACCCTAAAACAGAAAACTGGACATCCAGAGAGGGGACGATAACTTTTAAAAACTTACCTTTTGCCTGTTCAGCTGTGTAAATTTAACATCCACATGACCTCTTATCCAATTTATCCCATTTTTCCAAACCTCCTTTGGCAGGCAGGTAGAGGACTTGTGTGCTGCCATGATTTGTCTCATGTCTGTGGGAGAACCAGAGAAGTAGAAAGCACACATTTATTTTTTCAAGTGTAACTTTATTTATTCTTTTAAAAGAATGGTCTAAACGAATCATTTTTACATTAAATTCAAATTCAGGTGAAATATGGGATTAAGGAGTATGCCTGCACCGCAGTGGATATGATTTCACGTCGTACTCGCCTGGCCTTTCTAAATGTCCAGGCAGCCGAGGAAGCCCTCCCCAGGATTGTTGAACTGATGGGCAGAGAACTGAATTGGGATGATCGTAAGAAACAGGTATGCTCTAGAAATCTTTATACCCACAGTCCTTATTATGAACATGTAATGACTTGACCTTTTATTAGAGGCTCACATAGTTTTTGATGATGACCTTAGACTTTTTTTCTTCCTCTTTTTTTTTTTTCTTTTCTTCAAATTTTGACAGAGGATGTGTGCACTCATTGGAGAAAAACAGGCAGAGAAAAAGGGAAAGTAAAAGAGCACTCCCCCTCCAAGGTTGATGATCATCCTGAAGTCCCTTCTCCTCCACTTTTCTTTCCTTTCAGGATTTTGGGCACATGTGCAACATGCCCATTGGGCTTTTTTAAGCCTCCAGGCCTAGGTCTTAAACTGCAGTCAGCTATATGGTTTCTAGCTGCCTTAACCACTATGCCACCAGCTGGCCCAGTGACTTGAGATTTCACGCCAGTTTCTTCTTTCCTTTCCTTTCCTCTTTTCTTGTTTTTTTTTTGTTTTTGTTTTTGTTTTTTTGGGTTTTTTTTGTTTTTTGTTTTTTGTTTTTTGTTTTTCCTGCTATAGGGCACATACATTTACTGGAGAGAGACAGACAGACAGAGAGAAGGTGAGAAATCCCCGTGGGGGAACAGCTACCCCACAATCCCCTTTCTTCCATTTTCCTCTCAGGAGTTTTGGGTCACATAAACGTGTCCAGTGTGATTTTCAAGCCACGGGGCCTGGGATCAAATCACAGAGTCAGCCGTGTGCGATCCAGCTGCTCAGCCTCTACAGCACCTGCTGGGCCCTCTAGCCAGTTTCTGTATGTATGTGTGTGTAATACTGATAGGCCTTAGAGAAATAGAAAGATATTCTTGTACCCAGTTTTTTTATTTGTTTGTTTGTTTCTGGAAAATCTCTTACAGAAAATATTCTTGAATTAGTGGTCTTAAAAGAAAGAGAATAAGGAATGTGGGATAGAACCTTTTTAGTTTTCACTGACAACACTCTTGGTATGTATTCAGTAACATTCACACTCCCACTAATTTAATGGCTATTAAGTACTTATCACTTGTGTCATTTGTGATTTTATATTTTTATCAACGTTTTAAAAAGTGATGTTTCCAGATACATACACATGCACACATGTGCACACATGTGTACACACACACACACACACACCTGGGGGTGTTGTGATAAACAGAACATCTTTGTGTTTTCTACATTAACCCAAATTGCTTGTTATACGTAGAAACTTATAAAGTATTTTCACATATTTATTCAGAAATGCTCTTGGTACTCATGGGGTTCTGTTCTTTCCCCGTCTCTCCTAAACCCATCCCATTTAGGCTCTTTTGCCACCGCATTGTCCTATCAGCCCTGATTAAGCTCACCAGTAACCTTTATGGTGTTCAGTATGCTTGCCAACTCTCTGTCCTCACTTTACTTCACTACATCTGCATGTGTATATGCATTTGAGCTCATATTTCAACTAAAACTGGAGTGCACTGGCTGGCCCTTTAGTAAAGCAGTTAAGCTCTGTGCTTTGGAAGCAGGATCCCACGTGGCCAACTGCAGTTTGAATCATGGCCCTGGTAGCTGGAAAAACACACTTTGTGTGTGTTTATGTTGTTTGTTTCAGATCCTGAGGGGATGGAGAAGTAGAGGAAAAAGAATTGCAGTATGATCATGCCCCATTGGGGGATGCTTTCTTTCTCTCACCGTCAACAATTAATAAAAAAGAAAGAAAGAAAAGAAAACTTGGTGCAGTTAAATGGGGAAAGTGATCTAACAGCTGAGCCCTGGAGTGCTGCAAGGTTTAGAAGTCGGTGCGATAAGGAAGGATTTAGAAGAAAGGAAGGTAATGACTACTGAGGTTGAAGGAGGTATGAGAAGATTCAGAGAAGATTGTGACCCTAAAATAAGGAAGAAAGTATCTTTAGTCTGTTTGGGCTGTTATAACAAAATACCGCAGACAGAGTCGCTAAAATGGCATGATCTGTTTCTCACAGTTCTGGAGGTGAAACATCCGTGATCAAGGCACCAGCAGATTGGAGGTCTGCTAGGTGCTTGCTGTTTGGGTTATTGAGGGACGTCTTCTTGCTGTGTCCTTATGTGACATGAGGAAATAAACAGTACTGGGCATCTGTGACATCTGCTGAAGGTGTAAGGAAGGATCAGGCCGGTGGCCTGTGTTTAAAGCATTCTTATTCTATTGTAGATTCCTGAATATGGTGACATCGCAAAGTCACCTGGGAAATGAGGGAAAGGTAGATTCTGAGGCTTGACTTTAAAGCATCAGAGTCTGCAGGGATAAGACCATGACCCTATATTTTAAGGATGCTCCTTTAAAATATTTTTTAAAAATTTACTATAAGGCACGTGCACTTGCTGGAAAGAGACAGGGAGCAAAAGAGGAAGGAAAAGTGAGAGAACAACCATCGGGGAGTTGGCCATGCTGTGATTCCTTCTCTTCCATTCTTTTCTTGGGATTTTGGACACGCAATCACATATGCCTGGCAATTTCTTCAAACCTCTGTTTCTGGGACTCAGACCATTCAGTTGCCCACATAGGATCCTGCTTCCTTAACCACCATGCCACTGGCTGGTCTCCTTTAGTAAGTTTAGCAAACTACTGTACTGATGGTTGGAGCCAATGTTCAAAAAGGATTCTTTCACCCTGACCATGCCTCTGCCAGGGATAACCTTTACCTCCATTTTATATTTATAGTTGAGGAGACAAGCTCACGGGGTAAGTTCTTATAAGCAGTAAATTGTGGTACTGGGAAGATATTATGATCCTAGAGCATAGAGTTTCCCCACTCTGTCATGTTGTCTGCTTTAGCCATTTGTAGCTCTTCTAGTTTTGAATTTTAGTTTGATCAGCCAAAGCTTCACAGAGACAATGCAAGAGTGAAACTTATTCCTGTGCTCCCGCCAGTCATTTTTACCATATAGCGTTGGGGATAATGTGTTCTTCCAATAATTATTGTTGGAATGATTTGAATATGCGGGAACATATTTTGTATTAGGATTCAAGCTGTGAGAGGTAGGGAGGAAGAAGAAAATTCTGTAAACTGGTAGTGCTTGGCCCTCCTGGGGAAGCTAGATTTAACTTCAGCTCACATTTAATGAGCAGACTTATGTGCTCAGAAATACACTTCCATCCCCCTCAACAAATAACATAAATAAAAGCCCTAACGTTATTACTCAGTATCTTAGACATAGGACTATTAATGAGAACCGTGGACAGTCTAGAGAGAACAAAGGAGAAGGGGGGAAGGAATTAAAAGGTTAGAAAGCTGGACTTCTGAGAAAAGGTTAAAAGCATTGGGATTATTTAACCCGCAAAAGTGAAAGAGGAACCTGGTGATAAATAACTCTCTGTAGATGAATTGTGGTTGTTTTTACTGGTCAATACTTAATGAGTGACTTGTATACTGAACATTGCACTAAATATTTTAGGGGAATAATAAATAGCTCATAGCTTAAAAAGTCTTAAATTGTAATCAAGGGATTATAACACATCCATCCATCTTAAATATGTGTATGTTTTCTAAAATTGAGAAAAATATTAAGGGGAACTGTTACTCAGTACTGAAATTCATCTAACATGGATAGATGGACTGGAGAGGAAGGCAGTATCTGGGGAGTTAGAAAATGATAGAGAGTTGGTAGAAACATTTATGGAAAGTGACCTTGCTAGCCAGTGCTCCATAGGGTAGACATTAATACATGTGAGAAAAGGATTACATGGCCAAAGTTTGGGAAATTCTGAGTTAAATAAACTCTTTTTTTTTTTCTATTAAGTTTTTCTATAGGGCACATGTGCTTGCCAGAAAGAGAGAGAGAGAAGAAAAGTAAGAAATCACCCCGTGAGGAGATGGCCATGCTGCAATCCCTTCTCCATTCTCCTCTTGGGATTTTGGGCATGCACATACATGTACTCTGTGTGATTTTCAAGCTGCTGGGTCCAGGACTCAAACTGTGTAGTTGGCCATTTGGGATCCAACAACTCAATCTCCATGCTATCTGCTGGTTCAAAACTATTTTAATACAGATACATTGGGACCTTTGAAATGATTATATGTATTACCAATTTCCAAAAAGGAACTTATGTGGAGGCAGATTGAACTCTCAGTTTTGGGGAGGGCTGGGCAGGAGAATGACTAGTATTGCTTAGGATATATGAGGAGACTTCAGATATATCAGAAAATGGAATTAAAGTATGAGTTTATTTTGGTGCAATTAAAAAAAATCTATAAATAATTTTTTCATAAGGTACATTTTCCCTTGAACTTTTCGATGACCTCTTGTATTGGGGAAGTACTATCCTCTAGGATTTAGTAAGGTAGTATTTAAAAATAATATTCAGACAAAAGATTCAATTTCATTGAGAGATTTTGAAGAGAAGGACATTTAAATAGATTGAGAAAGACTCAAATAAAGAAAAATTTTCAAAATTGATTCTAGTGAAGAGGGAAAAGAAGCAGCAAGTGAAGAAATCCAGTGACTCTAGACAAAATAAACTGAAAACACCGCACTTAAAATAGATGGAAGACAGGTGCTCAGAGACGAAAGGATGTGTATCAGAAATAATGTGACAGGAATAGTGTCAGCAATTGGCTGACTGTTCTTTAACAATTGGTAAGGACATCAAAAGTAACATATAGTTTAAAACCAGTGTATCTTTCCTTCTTTCTCTCTCTTTCTCCTCCAATTTTTATACATGAAAGAAGAAAAATAACTATTGTTAAGTGGAAACAGATATTCAAATAAGATGCTACTCTGAATGACTTTTATACCAGCCCAGAAAATTATACCTCAGGGTACTCAGAACATTTGTAGTTGACATTGTTTAACTACTGTTGATCTTTAAAATATTGTGGCAAGGGACCAGCAGGTGGTGTAATGATTAAGCGCTGGGCTACCACATGGTCGACCTCAGTTTGAGTCCCTGGTGGCTTGAAACTCACACTGGGCATGTGTATGTGCATGTCCAAAATCTCGAGAGGAGAATGGAGGAGAAGGATTGTGGTGTGGTCATCCCCCCTGAAGATGTC